AAAGCCAGCACCCTCATGCTGCTGCTGAAACACCATCAGCACTCCCAGCAGCAAACAGCAAGAGACAAGCACGAAGCCAACACAACATTTTAGTATTGATTTCTCTAAGAAATTTAAATCCCACAGGGCATAAACATCAATTTAATCTGTATGCAACTACAAAATGGCCTCGCTCCCAGTGTTCCTTATTTCAGCCAAAACACTGCTACAACTGGAGTAAACACACACTCAGCAGTGCAGGCAAAGGCTGACAGAACGAGTATCCCCACACTCCCAATAATTCACAAGAGTTTTAGAGAGCAAATCACAAAAGCCAGACAGTCAAGGACAACCACAAGAAGGAAAATCTATCTCATAGCTAGACACAAAGGCATTCCTGAAGCATCCCAAAAACCAGTGGCATCCTGCCTTGCTAAGCAGGAGAGCCAATTCATCCTCCAATCCAACATTTGTTGGGGAGTAACAGCCTCAGGTCTCACCTTTGGGTTTCTGTGCCTCCATGTGACAACAGGAACAATGAAACACAACTGCTCCATGTTGTACTGACTGATAGTTTGGAACAAGGGAAGTGGTGGAGTCACTGTCCCTGGAAGTGGACAGGCATTTCATGAGATGTCTTAGTGGGCATGGTGGTGTTAGGTCAAATGTTGGATGTGAGGATCTTGGAGGTCTTTTCCAACCTCAATGATTCCTTGATTCTATTTTCTGAGCACCTCTGACTCCATCAGACTGCCTTCCCTGCAGGAAAAAAGCCACACATTACTGCTACACACAGCCTGCTGAGAGGAGCATCAGAAGAAAACACCACCTGAAGAAAAAGAAAATTTGTCACCTTGGAGTTTGCCCTCGTATAATCTTAAACTGAGTTTTCAGAAATGTAAATCCCACCTCTAATCCCTGAGAAATCAGGCCCAGCATGCTCTGACATTCCTCTTTTTCTTCTTAGCACTTCAGGACTGCTATTTTATTTCAAGAATGCACCCCATTGAAAGAGACCATTCTGACAGCAGAGCAAAGCCCCAGGCCTGGCAATGTCACCCCAGCCAGCACTTAAGGACCAATGTGGTCTCTAGAATTCAAGGCACCAACATTATTTGTGAGTAATAGATTTATGGATGTAAGAAACTATAAATTACACAGTCACAGACACAGGGTTTTATGGACAAAGCCTGCACTCATGAAATGTGGCACCTTCTATCCACCTGCCCCTGCTGAGGCCAGTTAGGTGGCACAGTCAGATTCCCAAAGGTATGAAGGTGACAGAGCAGCACATTGGGCAATTGGAGTATTTTGGACTCAGTGATAGGCACAAAAGCAAGATAGAAAGCCCTGTCTAAATTTAACAGCTTCAACACAGACCCCACCCCAGATAATCAGCCTTCATACATGGTTGGATTTATTAATTGCTGCAGCAGTCCCACAAAAGTTTACTTTACACAACTTTAGCACACACCTGATCCAACATGTATTGACTCAGGGCTCAGATTGCCATTGTCATGAAGGTTCCTACACTCTAAAGAAGAATGTAGTTTAAATATCTATTGACTACATGGGTGATCAACACAGAGTCCTTACCTGTGTGCTATTTGCCTTCACCATATGTAACATACATCATGGCATATTTACATCACATTTCAGTAAGGTGGGGGATGGACTTTGCTCCCAAAATTAATCATTTTTTTGGGTCTTCACCAGGACAGCTTCACTAAGTCCAAGCAAGGACCATGGCAACATTCTCCAATCAGTGTCAACTTTAGGATGAACTTTAGGATTGCTTGGTCAGGAACAGAAGCAACTCTGAAGTGATCATCAAGATTATTGAAGTATATACTGGCAGATCAGTCTGTACCACTGACAGCTTTATAGCTGCTGTGATCACCTCTGTCACCGAGCTGCAGGCACTGTCATTTCTCCACTAAGTTACCATGGCTTTGACTTCAGAGAGTCCCCTAACCCAGCAGCAAGAACAGCTGTGAGTCCAGCCTCTGAGCTGCAGTTGTGAGCTTGGCTTTCCAAGGGGGGTGGCTGCAAGCAGTAAAAGGAAGTGAAAAAATAGGTGTTTATGATACAATCAAAATTCAGGAAAATAAAGGCAGAACAGCAAGCCCTCTCCTTATCTTCACGAATCTCTGAATGGGAGGATGTAAACAACAGGCACAGACCAAACTTCACTTGTTTGTTTCTAGATTCAACACTCAGTCCACCCCTTAAGCACATAAGCAAAACAGGATACAGGGTGTTACTGAATGATTTCCTCTGAAACCTGATTGAGAAAGATTAGAGCAATTAGAACAGAGTGACACACACTTTGAAAGCCTTTAAATCACAATTAATGTAAGGTTTAACCTTTCTCCTAAGGATCAGTGGGTGACTGTGTGCCATTTTCAGAACAAGGCTGACATGTCCCAGCCTCAGAGACAAAAATTCATGAGACAGAATCCCCTGCCCTCTACTGGCACCAAAGCCACACTGAAATCTGAGCTCATGTCACAGGCAGCACACACAGGACCTGAGAAGCTGCTTTAAGGGGTATTTTAAATTATTATTTGTCATTTATATCAGATCTATAATGTGCTGGACACATACAACTGGGAACAAAAGCCCACATATAAAAAGCTCTTTCAGCATCGTTGCACTCCTTCCCACAGCACCAGCTAGACTGAGGATTCAAAACACTGCTCCTTGCAAGATAATATATTCATTAACTGGAAGCTAATTCTAAGGGATTATCTAATGTTTGTCATGTTCACAGTGCATAACCAAGAACTCTATATGGCAGGTTTTTATTTATTTGTTTGTTTTTACAAAATTCTCTCACGTACGCTGTTGCTTTTCTGATTACAGCCATCCAAACTGCATTTGGCCCAAGAACAGAAAGGCAGGTTCATAGCTGCCAAAATAATTTTCCAGCACCTTGGTGCCAGAGCTAGGGAAATTCTTAGCCAGGTTTCTGACTCATATGCACCACTGTGACAGCACCACACAAACCTGAGGGCACCCCAGCAAGGCATTTGATGTGACTGACCATGTCATGTTTATTTTTCACACATTGATTTAATGGGTGTCATCATAGAACCTTCCAGATCTTGTGACCAATTCTTACTGTATTCTCCCATCAGTGCAAACAACAGCAACAACAACAAAAAGCCAAGATTTACCCTGCTGTGATTATATTTCTGAATGTAAATCAGCTTGATTCCTGGAAATATCAAAGTAAATCCCCCACGTAGGCAAGGCCTAAGAGGAATTGAATAAACACAAGGGTCCCAACTGCATATTTAATCCAAAAAAAGAAATAAGCTTTTAAATCACATTAAAAGGAAGCAGGAAAAAAAAAAAAAAAAAAGCCTGAAAACCAGCAGCTATTAAACAAGAGAAATTCTGCCAATGCTGGAGTAATTCCCACAATGCTCATCCATACCCTGAAACACATTGTGAACACACCCTGTTTTCAGAGCTGTCACACAACAAATGCAGATGTGAGCCTGCCATCACTACACAAACAACAGAGTATGACATTCAAACAATACCACTAAGGAGGAGTGGGAGATGCACATAGCCCACATTATGTACAGCAGTTCTTTTTTGAAGCAACTCATCTGTTAAGTTACCAAATAGCTAAAAGGCCCTAGGGATGCAACAAAACAAAAGTATCTAATATTCCAAAGAATCCACAGGAATATAATACAATCACACCTGTCTCCTCTTCATTGTAGGCATCTACAGCATTTAAAAAAATACTAATGAAGAATTCTTAAAACTTAAGCCACATCCTAAAACTATTTGGATTTTTGGCTGTCCTACTCAGCCTAAATATATTTACAGAAAATTTATCCCAATTTGTTCCTGTGTCAGGGTTGTCTGATATCTCAAATAGTTCTTCTCACACTCTGGTGCTTGTCTAACCCCTGACATTTACAGACTGCAAAAGTGTCCTCAGCCATGATCTTCCTAGGCTATATTAGCCAAGATTTTGGTGCAGCAGAATTTAAGAATGAAGGATGGATAAACAGGTATTTTAAACACAGTCTATTTGAAACTCCACCTATCTCCATAAATAACCTCCACAAATAAATACAGTTTCAACTATATAAGAAAATATATAACACAGAAACCTTTACAGTGTAAATTTATGAGGTGGTGTTGACAAGCCTTATGATTTGTTCCAGTATTTCTGCATTTTCTCAGCTTTCAGCTCCTGGAGTTCTCTTAAAAATAAAAATATTCTGTCCTTCATGATTATTGATAAAAGCCTGGGGGCAGGAATTAAGCAATGACTTGTAAAGGAGGAGGTCAGGATGTAAATAAAAATATTACGATTTTAAAAAATATTTATTAAAAGTCCTCCAGATGAGTTAATTCAGCATGTTTAAGATACCACTGGCTGATACACTGACAGCAAACATCAATAAAAATCTTACAGGCTTGCCTGTATTATTTTGTAGAATTGTACGCATAGTAATGATCTGAACCCACTCCTCTAGATAAAATACTGGCTGACTTTGCTGTTCCAATGTGCTAAAAACTATTCATACCATAAATTCTAGGAAGCCAGAACTCTGGCTTTCTAAATCACAAGACGGAGTAAGGGCTTCTGCCTTATTAACAGAAAACAGAGGTAAAGAAGTGTGTGACCAGCTTATGGCAGATGCAAGAACAGAACATAGATTTCAAGTTTTTTGAGTTACAGTCTTGTGCTTCAGGCAGAAGTCTGGTCTTCTTTCCACTTCACAAGCTAAGGCCAAACTCTTACTGGACAATGCAGTTCAAACAATGAAACAGCAAGAATACATGAAAAATAAGTCTTTTAAAGCTAAACCTCCTTGGTCCTTCTAATGCTAAAATCTACAAAAACTTGCACCCAACACACCATCAATAATTTTTTCAAAGACCAAATTCAGAATTCACACCAGTTTCTGTATCCATCAGGCAGGACAGAGATCACAGCAGTGCCACTACTGCCTTTGGCCTCCAGTGCCATTAGTTCTCATCATACTTACAGACTTTATATCCCAGCTTTTCAGCATGAATCCTCTTGGCCATGAACTGCCCTTCAATCAATGCTCGTATTTCTACTTCCTTTGGAAACCTTGAAACCTGTACCAAAGAGGGAATGAATTAACAACACCTTACCCAGCACACAGTGCCAAGGTGCAGAGTGGCTAAAAAAACAAGACAGGTCTATAGTTGATTATCTTTGCCTTCACCCTGAAGTCTGCTCTCCTCTAGGCCCAGTTCTTCACTCATACTTACAAGATGGACCTAAAGACTCATGACAGAGAACATAGCCCATACCCTCAATGCTGTTGGCAAACACACCAAATTTGAAGTTGATGCACAATGGGAAGAATTTTGGGGCAAGCTGTAAACTTTTCCCTAAGCATTTCCCATCACCAGGAGCTGCTTAGGAATCAATATCTCAAAAATATAAAATTAAAGCTACTATATAAAATTCATATGAATTAAGCAATGTCACAGAAGCCTAAATCTATTTCTGTCTGCACAAAAGTGAAACCATGTAATCTTTTCATTAATTTATTTAGTTTCTATCTATAACATTTTTCTGTGCTTTCATCAAATGAGGCAAGAGAAGCAGAATATTGAACTGCAAACAAATAGGGGGAATCCTTCACATGAAGCTGAGTTTCTCCATGAGCTGCAGTAAGTGCCTACATTTGTGTAACAGCTAGAAGTGATTAAGCATTCACTTAACAGCCAACACTTGAGAGTAGAGCTGCACTGCAAACACCAGATAGCATCAATCTCTGTTCACCTACGTGAGGTCTAATTGACTGGGAGTCATGATTGATCAAAGACATCTCCTGAGTTTCAGTACCACCCAGAAAGCCAGGCATTTAAACAAGATCCATTCCTCAAAAAAAAAAAAAAAAATATACAAGAACTTCCCACTTCCCATAAGTTAATACCTATTTCATTCCACTTGGATTTGAGCCTGTGCTTACTTAAATACCACTATGTGGCTTGTAGGTTACTCAAAGTCATGCAGGACAGCAAAATGAGGTCTTTCAGTCTACACATATATAGACAAAATATTACATCCCAAAGTTTCAACACACCCTTATCTATGTGTCTAAAATTAAAAAACAAGGACTAAGTCATATACGTGTACTAAGTTCTCAGTAAGCTTAAAGTTAATCCTGTCTCAAAGATGGTGTTGGTTTCAGTAAATCCACATTTTCCCGTAAAGAAAATATATAATAAAAAAAATACCATATAAGTCCTAGTTCAGACATTGCTCTGTAGATGCTGTCAAGCTACAGACCAAATACTTCCTTATGAAAATCATCCCAGGGACTTGCATCGATAAGTAAAACTGGAAAGCAAATATTTTAGACAGAAAGAAAAAAAAATATATAATGGCAAAGATTTGAAGTCTTGACAGCACTCCTTCAAAGTTTGAGACATTAACCCGATTATTACTACCTTTTGGTTGTCTCTGTTGAATCTGTGAATCCCAACTGCTTCAGGAGTAATTTCCATCACATCAAAGTAGAAACCTGCATCAAGGAACATTAAAGAGTGTCATGTTTGCTCCCAGGCCCAAAGTTGGAATCTTATTTCTGCACACAGCTAAAATGATAATAGATGTTTATCAGGTATTTGGATATACAAATCACCACACAGCCTGTTTCTTTACTAATTTCAATCCATATATCCACTTTTTAACAATATTCTGAGCCATGTGGTGGGATTCTTTGGGCTCTCCTGTGCAGAACCAGGATTTGGACTTTAATGATCCCAGTGGGTCCCTTCCAACTCAGTATATTCCATGATTCTCTCAGTTTACAAAATGTGGATCTTTAACATGCCAAGCAATGTAATAAACACCAAGCCTACAAGAGAGGATACATCCACCATAATACAACATTTGTAAGTAACACAGCTAATACATGACACATACTAGAAATAGTCCGAGTATGGTCATATGCAAGGGTCAAAGGAGAAAAAAACCACACACAGAAAAAATGGCAAGTTGGTAAGAAGAGTACAGGAATATTGGAACATTTCATACCATGGATTAGATTTCATGAGCCTATTAGAGAACATCAGATATTTTAAGTCATGAAGCAGAGCTGGTCTCTGAGTAGTTTTGAAGAGATCTGAGGAAATGCTGTAATGCTTTGTAGACAGCTAGACAAAGATTTCTTTGGGTTGGTCAGAAGAGAGATTCAAGAACGAGACCAGGAAAAATGAGGACAGAAAAACTGACAGAATAGCTAAGAAACTAAGGAGAGTTTCTGAGGTTGCAACCGTGGAACAAAACTGTGCTGCCCTAGCAGACCTGTGACTACTGGCAAAATAAAACACAAAATACTGTGCTTTAGCACACATAACCTTTCTGGTTAAACATTCTGCAAAGTTGCCAGTAAGCAGCTCTGTGTGCCACAGATCTGCAGGCCCTGGCAGGGGAAGCACATCCCAACATTCCAATCCTGACCTCCAAACCTCTGCAGAGGCACCTCCCCACACAACAGGGAACAAGGAATAAAAAGGGGGTTTTTAACCAGCTGTGCCTTTGCTTTGCTTCCCCCAGGCACTCCAGTTATGGAGATTACTGCATTTTTTACAGATATACCCAGAGGTTATTCTAGTACATAGATTATTGAGGATGACTTCCATGAAACACCCATTTTATAGAGGAGCAAGATAATCAAGTGAATATAACACAAACTTTTAAACTTTAAGGCACTGTCCTGGTTCAGTAACAATATTTTCATCAATTTCCAATTTTTATAATATTGTCTAAACTGGCTGACTTTGGGGTTTTAGAATAATTTCTTCCCATTTTCTAAAACACTAGAATTGATTTGTCTTTTAGTGAAAAGAGATTCCCGGTCATTTTAATACCCCACAGAGACTGGATTTGACAGACAACATAACAGAGCTTCTAAAAATGAAAAATCTAATCTCACAGTGTCAAGAGGCTCTATCTTAAATTCACTTTGCTAAGGAGTGAAGCCTTCTATAGCTTAAATATCTACATTTAAAAACTTTGCTGCCTATAATTTTTACATTAATTTTACCTATATCAATTCACACCTGAGATGATGGTGATGATTTCATACCCTGCTCTGCAATGGGTCCATTTTAATCTTCATTAGACATGTGCTGACTTTTCAACAGCTTATTTCAGAGCTACATATTAGAATTGTAAAATGTTAAACTGTGGGAGAGAAAATAATTAAAAACTTGAAATCCATGAATTTAATAGTATTTTTAAAATATTTCCATCATCAGAATTTTGTTACATTTCATTCACTAACCATAACGTGGGGGGAAAAACAGGGATGAAGTGATTCTGTGTCACACACTAGGGAAAATGCAGGAAATCCAGGCATCCCTTGACATCATTGCTTCATACACATGCATGAACAAGATTCTAAAGTAATGACTGAGAAAGAAATAATATGGAGGTACTTAATTCACTTGGTTTGAGTCTTCAGAAAAAGAAATAAACTTTAATGAAAGCCTCCTTCAGAAATTACTGGTTTCAAACACTCTACAGCTAAGATGTTACTAACACCCTTCCAATGACCACAGGAGATCCATAAATATAATTTTCTTAGTCGGTGAATATTGAAGGAAAACACTGTGATGACACTTAGGCTGTCAACAGAGCTTTTCCAAGTACACATCAGGAATTTCTCTTGCTCTAGTTAACTTAATTCTTTACCTTTATGATGACCCAAGTGAAAAGGAGGTACAACACCTACTGCACTATGTGTCTAAGCAAACCCTCAAAGTCCCAGCCCTGTTAAGGTTCATACCCAAGTTTCCACTGTTTCCAGCAACAGTTGATGATAAGGCTTTGGAGAACTCATCCCAGGAGCCTGAAGCACACTCATCTCTGATCCTCTCCCTCATCAGAGAGCCATTCTTAAAACTGAAACACACAAACACACCATACGCATTTTCTAAAATGTTTAATTCTAGATTTTTTAAGCATTTTGTTCCTTTACTTTATATTGTTGCTTAAGTTTATCAGCTGAATTAAAACTGGGCAAGTTAAAAGATGTAAACACTTTGTTATGGAAAAAGAGAAGGAAGAGCAAGACAAGAGAAAGCAAGTTTTACAGGAGGTGCTGGGGAGCACAGTGCAGAGTATACATTTCTCCAGTCAGTCAGATTTGATCCATGGCAGGCCATGCCAAACCCAGGTTAGCTCTGCACAGCTGAGACATCGCCTCAGAGAAGTGCCCTGCCACCACTCACTGAGAGGACTCTGCAAGGAGCAGCAGGAGTGTCCCCACATCGCATTTATGATTTCAGAAGCATGGTACCTGTATGGAACCAGCATGGGTCCAACAAGAATTATGACGAGGTCTAGCTCTGTGCCAGGATCTGGCAAAGGAAAGCACCACAGCCAGTTAACAAGCCATGCAGTAAAATATGCACCTCTTCATTTTTTATGGTCTTTGCACACTTCATGCTGTCACCTTCTCTGTGAATATCACACTCCTGCAAAATGCTGCAGCACTGGCCTTGCATAGAGGGGAAAGCAGTTTGAACTCTCCAGCACAGTTATCAAAGCAGCCCAGCAGAAGAGGCACAGAAATATCAAAAATGAGGGCAAGGAAATCACTGAACTTGCTCAGTAGCACCAGCTGAAGCTATCTGAGTTTTCTATACAAATACCCTCTCTGGTAGCTCAGGCATTTGTTTTCTACTGAGAGTCCCCTATTAACTCTAATATTCTAGAAATAAAGAGGCCTTGGTGCCAAAGGGGCAGGGTCAACTCAGAAATGACTACACAAAAGGAGCAGGAAGGATTAACTCAGCACTACCAAGGCCACCACCAAACTGCCTGTTAAGCTGCAGTGAAAGAACAGCAGTGTAACATTTATTCAGAAAAATGCTTCAGTATCTGATTTCCTATTACAAACAGGTTTACATAGTTCTTTTACACAGCAAAAGTAAAGAAAACATTGGGTAGAAGAAAAACTCAAATGTAAATTAAAAACAAAGCAAACAAACAAAACACACAAAACAAAATATAACAAACAAAACCTGATGGGAAATCACAAATCAAAACTCAGTAACTTGCAATTGACATCGTGTTTTTGAACTCAACTTCATGAACACTGTTCCCACTGTCATCTACTACTGTGCAGGTGGGCTTCAACACCACAGCTTCAGGGCAGTCTTGAGCTTTGCTGAAGTTCTGAGTTTCAAGCATCTACAATCCAGGGCATTTAGACACAAAATTTATCTGCATATTACTTGCAAATACACAGCAAAACACTATGACCTGGATTGGAAATTTTAATCCAAAATACAGCGATTCAATGAGGGCAAACACAGCTCCAGTCCATCTCCTTGGCTGGCAAGGGGCCAAACAACTCCCAAATCACAGCAGCCAAAAGCTACCATGAGGTAGGATCTTGAGATCTCAATATTTTCCTCAAGCACAGCCCTAATACATCCCTGAACAGCACTGATTATGCTCCTCTCTGGAAAGGGAATCTTCACCTACTCCATTATGACCCCACTGAGGAGTGCAGAAGTTACACAGCCTGGTCAGGCTTCAGACATTTCACATTCTATCTCAGCAGCTTTGTTATTCCTGCACATTAAATGAATTACCAGAGATACACAGAACTGGCTCTATCCATACACTGAGATAATTTCAGCTTTTTATTGCCATGAGAATTTATCCTCCACAACTCTGCAGTTTCAGTTCCTCAGATTAAACAATAGGAATGCTATAACATTGATGGAAATGTTTCAGCAGTAGATTGCCATATACCGTAGAGAATGCTGAATGTTCTATTCATTATCATTTCACAAAAGAAATAAAAAGCGCTAACACAGAGAAAGAAATATATGTTATCGATCCCAGATGTAAAAAAAATAAATGCTATTACCATAAAAGTGCCATATATGTTTGAGAATCAACAGGATTGCACAGAATATGACCTTCTAAGGCAGGAGTTGGCTCTTGGATCCACAGGAACAATGTGTCACTTGTGCCAAGGCTAATCTGGAGGGGAAAAAAGATAATTGAAGCCTTATCACAATGTGCATGGAAAGCAATACAGAAATTAAATTAAAACCATTTGTTATTGCCACTAATTGTTTTTAAATTACACATTAAGTCAATTGGATTCGTGTTGAAGCTAGCTCTGACTTAGGCTGTCATGCCAGTGAAATACATACTAGATGGAAACTTAGATTTTAATGTCTGGAGTGTTAGTTAAAAATAGTCACAAGAGTTTACTTAAAATCTTTCAGGCAGCTTACAGATTGATAGAAATAGAACAAGCATAAATCCAATAAGCAGCAAATCAACACTAGCAGGTATATTTAACAGGCAACCTGCAGCTATTTACATTTCAAGTATTTCAAGCATCCAAGGACACAGATTTTCAGGAGAGTGTTTTGACTTACTGCAATGTCTCCTTCTTGAAGTCTCATCCCTGCCAGTGATGCTGAAAGCAAAAAGAATCCCAGGTACTTTAGAGAGAGTTCTTTGACTCAATTACAGCCAGTTACCCCAGACATCATAGCACATTGCAAACACCAACTCAAAGTACAAAATAAATGGCAAATAGCTCCTGGTGGCCTTGGGCTATCCACCACAAAGAAATGGGCAAAACTTTTGGGTGAGGGTGTGATTTTTGTTTTAATAAACTCAAAATGCTCAAGACAAACTACAGAACAGCATGATTTTTCTAATAGCTTATGCATCCAGGTTTTATATACAGTGGACCCTTAGTTAACAATGCACTTTAGAGGAGGAACATTCCTACTTCCATCACATTATTCACATATTTATTGGACTAAATTGAATTTGGGTCTGTAGAAGAAAAATTGGATTTTGGGGAAATGCAGAGATTCAAACCTGCGTAAGCTACTGTAATATATGTAATTTTCTTTACACTGAAACAGTCTCCAGGATTCAAAAAACTGACCCTGAATTAACACCTTCCCTTGTACTGAGATCTATCAGTCTGACAAAAGGACAGCTTTAATTCTTAAAGAAAGTAAATATCTCCATCTTTTTGCTTGAAAAGATATAAGAGCATTTTTAAAGTTCATATTCTCTAAGCTAAAATGTTAGCAGTTCATAGTACAGATAGTTTCTCATAACAAAAACTGAAGTTATCAAGAGGCAAATTAATTCACCTCTGATTACTTGGCAAAAGAGAATAATTTGTCATACACAGCCTATCTGAGATATCTCTATCAAAAGAATCAGTGATGGAAGGGTGTTGGAAAGAGGAATTAATGCTGATAAAAACAATATTCTTTCATTTTATAGGCAGCATCTGAGAACCAGCAAGATAGATTTAGAATTTCAGTACATACATAATCATATCCACTGAATCTTGCACAGTTAATCATCTCACCTGGATTGTCTCCTGTAAATGCTACTATTTTACAGTCTGGGTTAAACCCATAACGTTGACTATAATATGGAGAAATGGGCCCCTAAGGAAAGAAAGAGAGAAGAAAAAAAGCTCAAAAAAATGGAATGCAATCTTGCAATATATGACAATGTATTGTAACATGGAACTGAAAAACCCTAGAGCAGCTACAAAAATTATTCCTAAACATTTAAGGTATAAATGAATATTTTAAAATTTTTTAATGCACTTTTTTCATTGTAGTTGTGGAGAACCTCACAGGAATACCCTCAGATTAGATTTGAAAGCAGGCTATTAAATAGGAGCATTTTAGCTTTGGGTCTTTCTTCAGTTATTCACATCAAGTACCATAAACACATCTATCTGTTTTGCACATATACATGAATATTAATAGCTAGAAATTAGAAATTCAATGCAAACATAAGAGGAAACACAACATTAATATACATCACAGCATCAAATGATGGAGTATGACCCCTATTATTTTAGAGGTCAAGAACCATATTCTTTTAAGCCACATTTGATAGCCATTGAGATAAAATAGAAGAAAACTATCAATAAAAAACACAAGGACATCTATAAGGATTTTTTTATATGTTCCTCTCCATTACAGATCAGCAGTGAATTCAGAGGGCTCAGGTGATGGGGATCTCCACTGCCTCACATGTGCACAGCTAAAGAATAGATGGTTTTGTGCTGGGTAGTAAGACTAAACTCATTTACTCAGGAGATGTGAGGCTTGATTTGATTTCACCATTATGCTATGTGAACTGAGGAGCTTTAAATATCCCAAATTATTCACAAAGATTACCTCATTAAGTCTAAAAACAGCTTAAAACAAGATCTCTGTCTAGAAATGCAAATGTAGGGTTCAGTTTCTGCAGCAATAAACACCCGTGCACAGCTCTGCAGTGACCAGGTGCTCTGGGGCATGGGAAAGGACCCCAAAAATTCTTATAATTGGAGCAGCAACCTAAAAGTCTCTCACACAGCCCAGGGCATGCAAGAACCCAAGGAGACCAAAGCTATGATGGGTGCCAGTTTCCAAAGATGTCTGTATTTGCTTCATAAAACACCTTCACAGCACAGCTGGAACTACTAAACCAGCAGCACTGCACACACAAATACACTCCAAGTGCCATTAGCACAACTCCCAGCAAAATTGTTTCTTACAACTCTTCTGGCCAGGGACATACCAGGACTGAGTGGGATGGTACAGGGCATCCTAGTCTCTCCTCTAATCCAGGGGCACAAGCATCAAGGCAGGGCTTTGACCACGCCTTTTCCCAAATCTGCAGCAAGTTCATACCAGAACCTACAAGACAGATCAAAAGAGGAAGTGCACAAGATTAAGCATAGACCAGAAAATTCCAACAACAGAAAATTTACAGATGTTTGTTTTTCATTTAAAGAGAACTGTTTCAGCTCCTCTAAGAATAAAGGATATTGATAATTTAGCCTCTGGAGAGCTTTCACCTGCAAAAGTAGCAGAAAATGCTTCTTTGATATACAATACACCACACAATTCAGTCATTCACAAATTATGAGGAAAGACAAGAATGTCAATGCCTCCCCATCAGCTCCCCCCCAAATCTTCCACCTTGGACAAGGACTTCATAGGAGTAAAAGTGATGGAGCAATGTCCCTTGAAGATGTGTTGTGCTCTGCAGAGACCTGAAAGTGAAGAAATTCCCCCTCAGTAGGATGGCTTTACATTACTCCTACCTTTGAGCAGAGTATCCTATAAGCACCTAAATCCATGCTGACTAATCTTCCTCCATATTGATGTTTCCCTTTTCAGTTTTTCAAATAAAGCCTCTAATTTTGAGGATAATTTGGTATCCAGCTTTGAATATCAAAGCCATGGTTTTCAGGAGAGCTGAGCAGCCCAACTGAAATCTGCAACACCTGCAAGTGTGCAAACCTCTTGAGGCCAGATTCTGTGAAATTATTTTCAGGCTGCTACAAACCTAAATAACTGATTTGGTCACCTGCTTTCTCCCCAGAACTATCACTAGCTCTGAGAAAGGCCTTTGCAGTTTTGGTTTGGTTTCTCATTGCTCTTTTCTCACTGTTTTATTGCTGGTTTAAAAGTTAATTGAACTTGGTTAGTGGCCAAATCTGTATGACATACTCCACACCCCTGGCTTATGATTCTAAGATGCCTTTAATTGCACATTTCATTAGACTTGAAAATCTGTATTTCTGGTTAGTGCTGCTCCAGGACACAGTCTTGTTCTAGATTAATGCCAATTTCATTCCAAAGACTGTTTAGCCCACAATTTATTTGTCTCAGAAATGCAGCCATATCCTCAGCTGGGCATAGTGGAAAAACCTGGTATTTCCTTCTGTTCAATACATTTTTAAGCTCTTTATATTAAAGGTGGTGAGGTTGATGCCACATGCAGTGCCTGTGGAACAAGACTTTGCTTGCAGTGCTGGGATGCAGAGGAAGAAAAGGATTGAAAACCCATCTCAGGCAGCACATCACAAGGCTCCAGCAGTGCTTCTCCTCTGAAAAAGGGCCTTCAACACACCCCACACACACTCTGCTGCTGGTTACACAACACAAGTGAGCCCACCCTATCAACTCCCAGCAGACTTTTTCATACAGGCTTAAAAATGGGTTTAATAGCACTTGGAAACAAACTTTCTATTTATCAGTACAATCCTAAGCACCCCCAGTGTTGTCTGGACTTAGTGCTCCACACAGTGTTGTAAACAAAGTGCTGCACACTGGAACAACCCAAGCCCAACAGCAGCATGTTTAGATTATACTTAACATAAAAATAGAAATAATTTTATCCAAATCAATTAATCCCATTTCAGGCAAATTAAACAGATTTAAAAGATTTGGCCTATGATGAAACAGAAGGGAATTTGACAGAGCACAAAGTGCAACAACCCTCCCACAGGCAAAGGATCCCTTTTCTGCCATCAAAATCACTACTACACACCCAGAAAAGGAAAGATGGCAAGATTTACTGCATCATATCTTAGGTGTCTCTGAGAGACCACTCTTAAATCCAGCCATCTTCTCCTTCCCCAGGTAAACTGTGTCCTGACAAGGAAAACTCGGCCCAGAGTCACCACCTGCACTTTTCAGAGGTACAGGGTGTGAGCAGCCACAGGTTCCGTGCTCTCAGGCATAGAACACCTTTCCACACAAATCTATAAATTTTCCTGGAAAACTCCATGATTTAAAAGGCCAAGAATCTCTTCACTAAACTAAAGCAGCGAAGAACAGAATCTTTAAATAAATAGGATTTTTCTACAGAAAGATTAGCTGTTTTCTGCAGTTTTTTGGGTTTTTTTAAACCATCTTGGTCGACACCCCACAAGCCTAGAGAAATATTTCACCAGAATCCTCCAATGAAATTTTACAAGACATTAGGGCAGCCTTCAATTTTTCCTGCATAAAAGAGAAAAGCCTCGTATCATTAAAACTGAGTGTTTACATTATACAATATACATATTACATTATACTTCAGTTTATTGGCTGGTAGATGCAGTGGCTTAAACATTCACATGCCCTGAGAAAAGAGAGGTGAGGCAATTTGCCCCAAATTTAGAAGCTCATTTTAAAAATGTGAAACTGTTTTAGAAGTACTATTAATTTGATGGGCTGGATTCATTGTCCAGCTTAGGGCATGGGAGTCTCAGTGGAAAATAAAAAACACAGCTGAATGCTCCTCTGATTATGCAAGGAGTGATTCACACCAAGTTCCTGACTCTAGCACCTGTGCTCATGATCTACATCACTAAGTTTAACATACAAAATCAGTCATAATCTGAGGAGTAAGGGGAGAAAACGATCAAAAATCAAAGGCAGCCCAGTGAAGGTCAACAGCCAAGGCCATGGCACAGTAAGAACCGAGGAAAGGGTCAAAACATGGATTAATAGATTTCTATATTTCACTGCACACATCACTGACTTTTAGCACAGAATGACCAGGAGCACAAGGAGGACTTGCTAATATTTACTACAAATACAGAAGTGCTTGAACACTTGGGGGGAAAGGAGAGAATACAAACACTTTCATTACAATGACCCAGCAATGCAGACTAACTGGTTTTATTAATCAACAAAGTAAAGATCAATATTTGCATATATTTATAGGCAGTTAAGTGCATCTGTTTCTGCATCACAGCCCTCTGCATTGCCTTTCCAGTGAGCTAAAGCCATGGGAAGTGTAACTGCTGACACCACACAAGCTACAGGAGGACCAAATTCAGCCCACCACACCCCTTTTGAAAAGGCTTCAGTCCAACACATCCTTGTTTTGGTAGAACAGCAAAAAACAAGTATGCTAAGCTACAATTTGCCTAAGGCTCTTACAAAAGCATTTCAAAAGATAAAGCTTCACTAGGTCAAGAGCTGAATTGCTGTTCTTCAAGATATCTTCTGAAAGAAATAATGCCCCAAGTCTTCAACTTCTTTAGGTCCCAGATGTATCTTACTTTTAACATCTGCACAATATAAATAAAAATAATTCTTCATTCCACTAGAAGGTGATTTCATTTTTTTTTTTTAATCAATCACTCAGGGTGCTCAGCGATTCATAAGTGATTTGAACCTTAAAAGATTGGACCTTTAAGAAGAAAAAGAAAAAATCCTGGAACTGAATAGCACATTTCCCACAATAACCTGTCAATTTGGAGATAAGTTATTGTGTAGAGCTAAACAATTTGACAGGGTCTTTTAAAGATATGACCTGAAGTTAAACCTACAGAAATAAAGAATAGATCTATTATCTGAATATTATTTTGAGAGATGCATTTTAAAATACAATACATAGGTGCTAAGTAAAAGATCAAGTGAATTGCAAGAAATTGTAAATGACAAGAAAACAATTTTTCAGCTGCATCCAAATAACTACTGCATCCACTATACTTATATTTTATTACTGGAATTAGAATTCTTTCATTGTATTAACAGAAGAAAGGAAAGAATGAAGCAAAATATAGCTTACAATGCCAAAAAAACTTTTGTCTTGTAAAGAGAACTGTAACATACTGCTTAGTTCTCTTATCTTTTTTCACACAAAGGTTTAATAATCCTACATGCTCTGAACAGCACATAACATGGACTCAGGTTCTCTAAATACCCACAGGTGTAACAGAACAGGCTCTCCTGGAGCTGTTTGAAAATGTGATTGTCTAAGAAAATTTTCCAATTAAGGAAATTAATTATTTTTACTTTAAGATATTTTGTTTTCCAATTTTTCATGTTCTGAAATTGGAGAAGCATGGCTTTCCTCCACTTGCTTCCAAGCTGAAAAGGTAAAGCAATATTACCAAAAACTAAAAATACCCAAACATGAGATATTTTTAGTGCTTATAGTTTTAAACATTAGAATCAAAATTAACACTTCACTCTCACTGAAAAATAAAACCCAATATGTTTCTTTATCAGAAAAAGCACCTAAATATCTTGCTATCTTTCTTTAAAATACAGTAGGTGGCTGAGCAGCCCAAGTGCTTGGTATTTGGACCTGCTGAGGAGCAAAGTGCAGACCTCCAAGAAGTTATTGTTGCAAATAATACACAAAAACATAATTCAGCTGTGAATTTTGGCTAAAAGGACAGAACCAGAAAACAGATATTATAATCTCACAAGTGATATGAAATAAGCATGGATTGCTTTGCCATTTCTGAGGTCTCAAGTATAACTGGAAGCTCTGATAGCAAGTAAGTTGTCCATTAGCTAAAATTGAGGTGTCTTGTCTTTTCCTGTAAGATTTGATGGAATAACAAAGGAGAAAAAAATGAATTGGTCTTAACACATGGGTGTCAACCATGTCTCTATAACGCAAAAATTCTGTAGAGAGCCTTGTTATCTAACCTTTCAGCTCTGAAATATATCCTCTTAGTTTCAGAGCAGAAATCAGAAATGCTTTTTAGAAGTAACAGCAGAGCTCCCAGGAAAATGCTTTCCTTTGTGATTGTCATTTTAAATTGCCATTTAAAAATGGATAACTGAGATAACACACAACAGAAAAGAGAGACAGTAGTTTTGTCACTTTTTTGTCTTTGTTATGATGAATGGAGAGATATGGAAGATTTCTTTTTTTAACTGGGTTTAGTACATTTAGCTTTATTTATGCCTTTTTTCCTGGTTCATTTTGAAAATATACTTCTCTTCTAGAGCCATACTCCAGTTAGGTGGGGAAGAAATCATCAGAATATATATCATGTACACATCCTGTGCACCTCTGAGCTAAACCAAGGAGCAAATACCAGAACTCTGAAGTTTAGTTTAAGATTCCACAACTTTCTGATGCCTCTAGAGGATCTTTCACCACTCCTTTATGCATCACAAAATAGTGAAAAAAATTACATTTAAGAATCTTTTCTGTGGATCAAGTTGATAGAAGTGGGAATCAGTACGACGAGGAGAGATAAGCATAACAAACAAACTGAAAGGCATAACGTAGCTTAAAAATCTAATATACTTGTCATTAAAATTTAAAGATTGAAAACAAATATCAGACACCTTGTCCTCCATCTATGTAATGTGGAGATGGAAAGGAAAATTTCCTTGTTAAACTGTTACTATGAATAAAGCCCACACTTACCATCACTGTAATCAATGGGTGCATAAGCTCCTAGGAAAAGGGAAGCTGCAAAGCTACTGACCAAAGAGATTCTCTGGAAAAAAAAAAAAAGTGAGAAATAGTGAGTCACATCAGTATTCACTTCAAAGAAAGTAATTGGAAAGCAAATAAAATAATTGGAAGCAGCAAATGTTAATAGATGCCTAAGGTTAGGCCCAGAAAGCACACATAAACACATCTAGAAAGATTATTCAGTTCTGACCATTGCAGTAACACAGCACATATCAATCTGAAAGTAACCCCATTATAAAAGTAGTTAATAGCTCTGCTTCTGAAACATGCAAAACACACCTTGTATGTTATCAGACTGTGTTAGCATGAATCCACAACTTCAGTCTATTATAGAACCTCATTTTCAAAGGAAAACAAAGATAAAAACAGCACCAAAAAAAAAAAAAAAACCACCACCACAAAACCAGCTATGTGTTATGACAGAGGAAATGCTCAGAACCCTGCTCTGCCCTACCCACAGCACAGGTCTGTAAAGTTTTAGAAGCTCTGGCAAAGCTCTGTGAGCACCTTTAGCACCTGTGCACGACCCTTTGCCTTCCTTCCAGCTGAGACCCCAGACCTCCCAGGAGTCACTCCCAGGAGCTGGTAATAATCAGCTTTGAACTGAGCCCCTGCCTGCAGCTCTGCCTCAGGGCATGCCCCAGCTGCACGAAATCCAGCTGTAGGGCTGGCCAAAAAATGCCCCATATGACAAAGGACACTGATCCACCACGAACCTTCCTCCTCTTCACACCTGCTGTGTGAGCTAGCAGGTTAACCAGCCACCAGCAGGCTTTCTGCATGATCAGGTATTGCCTGATCCCAAGAAGCTGGCACAAAAGCAGACAAATTCCTCATTCTGTGCTGTAACTCACTCAGAAGAAATATGGCTGTCACCTAATAACTAAACAGAATCAAACCTCTACTGGTGGAGTGAGGCAGAAGTGACAAGTTTTTATTAATGATCACAAAACCACTGCTTCACAGCATTCAAGAGCAGCCTATAGCCAGAGATCTAAGAGGTGGTTGTAATGGCCAGGAAATTTAATGATGCACTCGCTCTTTGTGCATTTCTCCCCAAGAATACATCACATTGTGCTCAGGTAACAAAAGCCTACCTTCTGTGGTGCCCCAGTGGGCACTAGCTGCCTGAAATGGAAGGAAAAAAAAGGATGAAGTTAAACTGTGAATCAGCCAGCCAGTTTAGCAAGCTGACCTACAGAAGCAAAAACATCCACCTTCCACGTGTCATTGAAACTGCCAAGCTGTTAAGTGCTCCTTGAGGGTCCCCAAGAGCAGCTCTGGCAGAGATGTTTTGTGCTTGAATGCATCTTGCATAAGCTTTATTGCTAAAAGTTGCCATCAGTTCAAACAGCCCTCAAAGTCTGAAATTGATTTAACCAGTTCTCAGCCCCACTTCCCCCCAGTAACATATCCTTCTCTAAATTTAGTCTCAAGCTTATGATCAGACCATATCAATGTTCTGTTTCAACTCATACCTTACTAGTTACAATGAGAATAAAATAAATAAAAAAGAAAAGAAGGGAGAATAATTAAAAATTAAGCATTCTCCAACAAAACACAGTGTCAACACTGCAATTCACTTTCTCATGAAATGAACTGCTTCATACAAGGGTGAGATTAAAAAAAAAAATTAGTGCTACCAAGAACTGAAGTAATGGAAAACCAGGTCTTCCTTACTCCCCTTTATAAAAATGGGGTCTATGTTTCTCCTTTTCCAGTCAATGGGAACTTCACCAGACTGTCACAGCTTCTCAAATATGATGAATGGTGGCTTAGCCACTTCATCCACCAGTTCCCTCAGGACCTATGGAAGTATTTCACCAGGTCCTTGTGCAGCTTCCTGTTCCTTGGATGGTCTTGAACTCAATCTTCTCCTACTCTGGGTGGTTCTTCACCACCCCAGTCCCCGATTTGCCTGCTGTGACTCAGGTGATATGGCTGGAACTCTTGCCAGTGAAGGTCAAGGCAAAAAAGTCCTTGAGTACCTGGCCTTCTTCACAGCCTGGGTAACCAGGTCCCCCACTTCCTTTGGAGAGGGCCTACATTTTTCAAAGTCTTTCTTTTATCAACAACATAGCTATAAATACTTTTCTTGTTGCCCTTGATGCCCCTGGCCAGATTTAATTTTGTCAGGATTTTATCTTTACCTGATTCCTAACTGCTCAGAGAGTCTCTCTGTATTCCTGCCAGGATACTGCCTTTACTTCCACCTTCTGGAGGCTTCCTTTTTGTGTTTGAGTTTGTCCAGGAGCCATTTGTTCATCCACACAGGCCTCCCAATGTTTTTACCTGACTTAATCTTAGTTGGGATGCATCTCTTCAGAGCTTGGAGGAGGTGATCCTTGAATAAGAACCAGCTTAGGAGAACCTGTATCCTTCCATTCCAACACTCCAGCAGGCATCCCACCATGTCTCCATGATGCCAAGAGGATCATAACCCTCTAAACTCCTGTTTATTCTCTGTGCCATGTGTGTTTGCCCAGACATTTAATCTGAGCCACTAATGAAAGTGACTTTACTGGCTGCTGCTGTCCTTCAGGTGCTCCCCTGCCATCCCTCTCCAGGCTCTGGGTATCTCCTGGCACCAACCTGATAGGAGTGGGATGGATTGAGGTTCTCCTCCCCCAACAACTTCAGTTTAAAGCTCTATTCACAAGCTTGAGAAATAACACTTAAAGTAGAACCGATGTCTGATTTTTACGTGCCTAACCACTAATAATTTAACAAAACTAAAAATAAAAAAATTTCAATTTTCATCTTAAATTCAAACACAAGAATCAGAATAATCTTTAGCAAAAAGGTCTGTAAAAACATCTGCACAAAATAAATCTTAAAAGATTTTCAACCATGTTTTCCAATAAGGGAAATTGAAGTTAAGCCAACCTCAGTTTGCTTGTAGACCTCAGGATTCTGGCTGTAAATCTTTGCTATCTGGTTTCCTGTAAAACGCTGAGAAAGAAATGCAAATGCTTAGAAACACAAACCCTAAATGGAGTCAATAATCATTAACTCTGTGTAATGAGTTCAGAACATTGCACTTTGGATATTTAATTTGCCTGATGCATGATGAAAGTCAGTGCACAGCAGGCAATCTGCACTAAACAGGGTATAACACATAGTCTCATTATGAGAATTTTGTTCACCTTTTGAAAAAAAGGCATGTGGAAAAGCATTACTATCCATAATTTACATTTCAGAAATGACAGTTCAATGGAATGAATCACACTTATTCTGTGCACAGGAACCAGGACATTTCAAACGGTGCCTTCAAATCCTTGAAAAGGTTTAAGCTACACAATCCATGTACCTGCCTGTGAGGCAGGTGAATTGAAATTAAAGCAGGAAGTTCCACACTCAAAGCAGAATCTCCAGCACAGGCTAAAAACAGCTGTGAGAATATTTATTTTTCATCCTTTTATTATGTCAGATAATAAAAAAAACCTAACACTGAAACCTTAACATTTAGCAAGTGAAAAATAAACTGTTAGTCGTATGCAGAGTCTGATTTCAACATTGACCATAAAGCTTGCATGATGATTCAGAAACAGAAACATCAGTTTGCGAGGTTAAAGCCTTATTCTGTTGAACCAAGAGTGTGAGTAGCCAGGTGCTGAGGTGCCTGGAGGGCAGATCTGCTCCCACTCCATAACTCACTGTCACAGTTAGAAGGAGGGAAGAGTCAGGAAGAGGAGACAAGTGACAGCATATCTCTGACAGAGTCCCAAGCCTCTGAAACACTTCTCTTAGGTAAACAGCTGCTTGTCGGCCTCCAGGGAATATTAAAAGGCCAATCTTTTAATTGCAGAAAAAACCTAGAGCATGATTCACAAATAGCTGGATGGATTTACCCTAAACAAGCCTGTAACACAAACTGGATTTCCATCCCAATAGAAATGTGGCCACACAAGATGCTCCCAGGGACAACCAGGCCCTGAGACTTTAAGCATGGCCACCCAACACTGTATTTGGGAAATGCTGGCTAGCCAAATGCTCCAGCTGCCTCCTGCAGCAAAATTCCCAGTGTTTGGTTCATTTCACTGTAAAATTTCTGCATCTCCCCTTGTGATACTAATACAAAGAGCAGTATGGTTGGAGTTTCTTCAAAAGCTCTGTCTTTCCTAGTTAATGGCTGGTGGTTACCTGCTGCAGCTCCCTGGAATGACAGAATTGTTTCCCGCACAGGATTCTGCTGGGAACTTCCTCCCCATCCATTCCTTACCTCATATGCCCGGGAGCCAGTGACCCTGGCCAGGTGCTGGGCTCCCCCCAGGGCTTTCTCCAGTGCTCTGCACTGGGAGGCTGTGCTGGAATCCATCCAGATGGGACTGTTTCTGACTGAAAAACAGCCCTGTAATGAAGAACACCCTCCATTAGCAAGTCTGATCTCTGAGAAGTCCCTGCTGGAGTAATAAAAATACAGCAGCCATACATATCAGCCCACAGCTCAGTTCTCTGACATGCCTTCTGCCCTTCTCTCAGCAATTACAGAAAGCAGATATTGGGTAGAATGTTAGTGATGAAAAGTTCAACCCAAACTTTGCATCAGAGGGAAGCAACATTCTTTTTCTGCTGTCACTTCACAGACCCTGCAGCACATCCTCTGGTAGCCAAAACCTCAGCCCCTTCTAGAACCCCTCTGCAAACCATCAGATTATCTTCCTACAGCTCTGCTAACACATTTCTCCTTAATAAATGGCATAACCACCTGGAAATACAACTGTGGCTTAATACACCATTTATTCCAGCATTTTAATGCCATTTCCATGAGTTTTGCACAGATGAGACAGTTACAAAACTAATGATGTAGCACATTTAACACAAAAGTCCCCCCTTTCAACATATATCTGTCCTTTCTGACACTGAAGTAAGGGCAAAAGGGTCTTCCAGAGGGAAAGCTGCGTCCTCCCAATTTTTCTTTCTAAATAAAAGCTTGTCAAGTCTGTGTTCAAAGCTCACCAATCACACACATACAAAATGTTGTGCCAACAAGGTACTTGGTTAGGATTAAGTCCACACAACATTACATTTATATCCTTTTGGAGGCAAGTATAAACTGGTCTTTTTAAATAGATATATTTTCTTATTCTTATGAAATCACTTGCACATCCTGCAAGGAAACTCAGGTACAGCAGTCCTTTTCACCACAATTTTTTGTTAATATAAATATATTAAAACCAAAATATTTACAGATTGTTTACAAAAATACTACATTTTCTAGAAGAGCAAAGAGGCTGTTACTCTAACACAGAAAGATTCTGGGACACCCACTGGCACCTGTAAGCTTTTAAAGCAGAACACACTATCACTCAGGAGAAAATGAAATGTCAAAAGTCCTGCAACAGAAGGAATAACTACTACATTTCATTTATGCTGCAGGAGCTTGCAATCCAGCCAAAAAAAGAGGATGAAAAACAATGTGTAAGGACCAGAAAAAGGATAGTGTAGCCCTCCCTTCAGAGCTTTTGTACACCTTACCTTTACTGATTGATGTAAAGGCAGTTCAGATGATGCATCCTTTAAAATCTGGATGCTTCCTTTTTTCCAGTACACACTCCCATGTTGCTGTAAGAAATATAGAAACAGGAGTTGGAGATGCCCTCCCAAGCTTCAAAGTTCATATTCTGATATTACATTCTAAGGAACAAAAGAACTCACTCCAAATTAGGACCAAAAATGGTCCATTTTAAATCAAGGGTCTCATAAAAAATCTCTTATTCAAGACAGAGCAAATCAGAGCATTATTTTGAATTCAAGAATTTTCTAGTGGGGACAATTACTGTATTGCTAATGGCATTGGATACTTATTTGTGGGCTCTTTGAGCTGTAGCCAGGGCTCCACAGTCAAGATTTAGTTCTGTGCTATTTCAGCACAGCCTCCTGATCCATCAGTTACAGGTCTGTCCCCCTTGCTGGAGGGGACAAAATAAAAGGAATATGGGCAGTCTGGAAATCACTCCCTTTTTTCACTTGAGTAAGGTGGAGTTACTTGGCAGTCCCCAGCTTGTGCTCCACTGAAGAATTCACAACAGAGCCTTGATACCAGCTCTGATTTTCAGACACTTTGCTCAGACTTTCAACAGCAATCAATGAAAGATGGAGATGAAAGCAAGGGTTTTGATTAATTAGTCCCAGATACATCAAGATGAATAACCTAAACCTTGCATGTCAGAATTAGCTATTGCTTTGGTGCTGTCCTCACTCTGAATATCATCTGTGAAAGTTATAAAGGCCTCTGTTGATTTATTGGAGTACTAGGAGGAGACTGGCTAACTGACTAAATGTCATGGTGGGTTTTATAAATTAAAAAAAAAAAAGCATTATGCACTACAGGCTAAATCACAGCAGCATTTTTGTCATTTCTTCATCATTTGGGTTTTGTTGTTTCTGTGCAGATCCCTGACCAAGCCAACAAAAAACTGCTCAGTGGGATGTTACTGTGCTTTTAGCAAACTGTGCTCATTGCTGTTTTTCCTACCCCATTTTCCACAAGTACCTGGATCTGCTGAAATTCAAAATTAACAGAATTAAAACATTGTGAAGCCAAGCAGTTCTGCACTATGCTGATCTAAACAACTGCACTGCAAACCTCATCCTCCACTCCCACCATCTCCTAGTGATTGCTCTGCATGCTTCAGGTGTCCACTCCCTCCAAAGAATGTCTGTGGATGCTTATGCAGATCTTATTTTATGCCATTACAATCTTCTGCCATACAATTGTTTAAATTTATCACTCCACCTTCAACTCCATCAAAGAAATACAGTAAATTTTTTTTTGTATAAACTAACCTGGCCAGCACCAGACATAGCTCTGACTTGAGAGAAGTTAAAGCCTGAAGACTTCATCTTTTCCAAGATCACATCCAGAGCCTACAACAAACAGAATCAGGAATGACAGTAACGAGCTATCAAATTATGCATACTCACAATCTGGAATTAAACAGTAAATTTATGTCATCACTGATAAGAGTTCATTGGCAGATAATGAAAAATTAGTTAATGACTATGGACTTTTCAAAAATCTGCATAAATTAATTTATTAAGTGAGAGTCCATAAAAGAAAAGTTGAGTCACACAGGGGAAAAATAAGATCTTTAAAGAAGCTGAATCACAAAGATCTGTTCTTTGAATTCTAAGTAAGAGGAAAAAATTAAAGAATTCTAGTTCATTAAAAACCACTTTAAGAGTGCTAGACACAAAGCACCATTATCTTTTCTGTTCTTACTTTTGAAAATCTATGAAATCTTAATAGGGCATACCCTACAGCCCATCCTACAAGACATTTAGGTAACCACAAAACCATTGTCCCCAGTGCCAACAAATTCACAGATTCTTTAACAAAGGATAATTCAAGTGATTTTAGCACTTCAAGCATCTAGGCAAATTTTGTTCTTGGCATATTTTCCTGAAGTTTAAAACCAAAAATTAATCTAGCCTTAAGTAGTTTAAGTTAGATCAACATTTCCCAAACTCTCTTGACAAATGGACCACCACCAAAGAAACATCATATATACCTACATAGTAATTTTATCAATTTAATAATTACAACAATGCCTCTTCATTATGGTTCAAAATTCAACTGCAAGCAAATTTACCAAACCTTTGTCAGCTACTAGAGATCACCAGGGGGGTTTTGTGACCTTTCTAATATTTTAACTAGCCAAATCCCTCTAATAATAAAAATTTACAGAGTACCACATAAGTGTCACAGCTGAGATGGCCACGACACACAGAGAGCATCACCACAGAATTTCAGAAGGCTTTAAGCATTTGTCCATACACAGCAACACCTTACTCAACAAAAGGCTTCTTCAGATATCTGCCCATACAGCACAACATCCTCCCACTTCAGAAGGTTGCAAGCATCTGCCCTTCTTGTTCTTTTGCCCAACCTTTTATCCCCTCATGTTGATGCAGTGCCCCTGTGTGCCCTCTGTTCCCTTTGGTGGCTGCTCAGTGCCCCTGGGCACTCCCTGGCTCGTTGCTGTCAGTGCTGCTCACCTGCTTCTCACAGCTGAACCCACTGGGGATGAGGCTCAGCTACAGCCCCACCCCAATCACCACAAACTGTGTGCCTACATGTAAGTATTGCAAAATCTGCACAGAAGTAATAAAGGCTTTATTTTAAAACAGAAAAAAAAAATGCTGTACTTCAAAATAAACATCAAAGTTACTGGGAACCAGTGAATAAATTGTCCTTTCACCACTTACCAGTTGCAACATCAATTGGTAAGAAGAGCTTATTGTAAATGAAATAGTTTAAGTCACCTGGGTGCTACAAAAACAGATTTAAACAAGGCAAAGTGACAGCTGCCCCATTTGTGTATGAGGAGAGGAAAAAAGAGTCATTTTTTCATATGAAGGAAAGTCAGGAAGGAATTTCTCACACACAGAATGCTGTAATAGTAGAAAGTGAAGAAACAAACAAAAAAACCCCATCAAAATGATAGCAATGTTCTACTATGTTTGTTGATGGCATTACTATTTGCATACCAAAGACACAGAACAACACTTCAAAGAAACAGAATGTAAGCAAAAGGACTATGTTGATTTGAACTATTGCTCACAATAAACTTTCATTTCTGTAACAGCAAGGAAAAAGTTGATCCATATAAAAGTTTGTTCATACCTTGACCCACATAAGCACTGGTGAAGTGACTGTCAGTCTGTCACTGTGAATGTAGACTCCACCTTGAGTCCTACAGAAAAACAGGATTTTCTCTTGGTAAATTCAGTAATTTTTTTTTCCCTGACAAGAAGAGTTCTTCAAGTTTATTAATGACCAAAGAGAATTTACAATGCTTTTATCTTAAGAGCAAGTATCGGAGTTTGAAACAAGAAAAAGTAAAAGCCAACTCCTAGGAAATTACATGTTTGACACAATTGTAAAAGAAGTGATTTCAAGGAAAGGCCCTGATCCTGAAGTAAGACCTGTGATAGAATCCATTGCTGATATTGCTCATTGTCTGCATGTGATTCATTATTATTTCTGTCACAATTAGTGACTTAAACCTCAAAGATGAAGTTCAATTCTGCTGTTAAACCATCAAGTAAATAAATGTGTTTTACTGAAACTTTTGACTGGAGGATGACACTTGCCAATTATAGTGTATTGTTTAAGTAAGCAAATACTGTCATCCTACATCTTAACAACTGAATTTATCTCCAAATGCCTTTTAGATGTTCCCCTCATGCAATTTACATGCTGTTCTGAGAGCATCCCACCCCGTCATGTCCACAAGTCTAAAGTTCCAAAAGAAAAAGTATGGTTTATTTATAGGTAATATTTTGGGGTATATTTCTTAATTTCTTTATACTACCCTTGCAGAGTGGAAAATATGAACATGCATGATTTTTTTCTATGCCTCCATAAATAGGGCAACAGCTCCCTCACCCCAATCTCCAAAGCTTTAAATTACATCATTCAAGTAAAATATAAAATAGAAAAAGCCTTACTTAAATTCCGGAAGGTCCTTATCAAAATGAACATTATCCTCATAAATGACCCTCAGCTGTTCATCAATAGCAATGACTTTCAACTAGAAGATATAAAACAGGAAGTTAACAAAATCTAGCAATAATTGAATAGCACTGACAACTCATTTATAATAATTTAATTCCCACAGACAAAATGAAAAAAAAAAAAAAAATCACCCCAGTCCATAGAACTCACTGAAAGTAGGGCATAATTTTACATTAGACAAGTTATTATGTGAATTTCCAAAATGTTACCTATTCAGCAACATGTGGGTTTCTTTGTATTTTCTTTCTCCTGTAATGCACAAGATCGGGCTACAGGCATGTGCTAAAGAACAGCAAACATGTTACCAGGTTCATCGTTTGCATCACAGTAGCCAGTTTTTCCAATTCCTCCAAAGAATACAGTATCTTAAATTAAAGATGTCATACCCCTTCTTTTTATGTCACCTACTTTTTTTTTGCCTCATCTTACCAAGGAACCTCACAGACCCTCTAGGGTACCTTGAACACCTTTCCTGCTCCCCAGATGGTGAGCAAATTTAACTCTGCCCATTACATAAGTGTATTTTGAGCTACTGCAACAGAAAGCAACATCCCCAACTCCATAAAGCTGAGCCTTCTTGTAAGCACAAATTAGAAGGGTACCACAACCTTTCCCCATCTATCTTCACTCAAGTTCACCTAGTTCTGAAGAAAGACAGTAAGAGCTGACAAGAAAAGCAAGAAGGAAGCTCATATTCTGTGCCTATTTCAATCAGGGGGAGAGTGCAAACTGCTTCTAAAGGAACTGATTTTTTAAAAAACCTACAAAGACTGTAATCTCAAGGAGCTGCATTCAAATAACAAGGCCATCCCCATTTTTACCATAGCAGTGTAGAGCCATTATCTATGCCCTGGCACTACTCATTACCAACCTGCACTAGCTTAAAAATGGCTCTGACCCACTGCAGCTTAATTGGCTCTCTGCTTGCAGCATGTCCCCATAAAAACACTTGATCAACCTAACCTGGATGTGTCTTTTCAAGCTCCCAAACTTCAGCACAACCATAATGGTGATTTATGCTCGAACACCTATTTTTAACATGTTCAGGCCTCTGCACAACTTGGGCAGAGTTTCTATTTACAGTGCAGCAATACCCGGCTGTGCGGACAAAGTAGAATTTCAAGCAGAAACCTGAACATCCAGGTTCAGAGTTTTGATTCACACAAAGACACAGGGAAGCCAGGTTTGGGTGCAAATCCCAGCTCCTACAGCAGCAGGTAGGGGGGTCTATATGCGGCCTACATATAAAGGACCACAGCACTCCTCCAGGATTTAACCCATCCCTAGCAGGATGGGGAAACAGGACACATTAGGACATACAGCCCACTGCTCCAGATGGGGCAAACAGAAAGGGATGAAGGTGAAGGGGATATGAGAACAACCAGGTACATGCACTGTGTGCAGGCCATAGACATCTTAAAACACACAAGTCACTCAGAAATATTATGGCCATAAGCTAAAACACAGGAAGTTCTGCTTCAAAATGAGGAAGAACTTTGTTACATTGGCTGTGGCTAAGACTAGAACAGGATGCTCAGGGAGGACATGGATTCTCCGTCTCTGGAAACATTCCAAACGCACCTGGATATATTCCTGTGTCCAGGTGACCCTGTCTTGGCAGGAGGTTTGAACTGGATGATCTCCAGAGGTCCCTTCCACAGACTCACAGAATCGGTCAGGTTGGAGGGACCGTAGTGGATCATGCGGTCCAACCTCCCCGCTTTAGGAAATTCGTCCTTAAGCACATGATTCTGTGTAGCCATCTACTGACTGTCTCTAGTGACGGAGACTCCGCAACCTCTCCGGGCAATCCAGCCCTAAGGATTGTGTGATTCCGTGAATAATTTGGCGTCAGCCGTGTCGGGCTGCAGCGGGTGCGAGCCCCGGGCAGGGAGCCCCGGGCAGGGAGCCCCGGCCGGGCCCGGGGACCGCGAGCAGCCGCGCACGGCAAACCAAACCCGCCGGGGGAAGGCGGAGAGCGGGGACGGAAGGAGCGGGGAGGGGACGGAAGCGGCGAAACAGGGAAGGCCTGGCCGCGATCTTGCTCGGCAGCCGCGGTGGAGGCGGGGAGCGCCGAGTTCATCCCCCGCATCCCTCCGGGACAGCCCCCGCTGCCCGCAGCCCCGGCCCGCGTTCGGAGCCGTGCCGGGCAGCGCGGCCCCGCAGCGGCCAGGGCAGCCCCACAGCGGCCAGGGCAGCACCCACAGCGGCCATGGCAGCACCCACAACAGCCAGGGCAGCGCCCACAGCGGCCAGGGCAGCACCCAGGGCAGCACCCATAGCAGCCAGGGCAGCCCCACAGCAGCTAGGGCAGCACCCACAACAGCCAGGGCAGCACCCACAGCGGCCAGGGCAGCCCCACAGCGGCCAGGGCAGCACCCACAGCGACCAGGACAGCACCCACAGCGGCCAGGGCAGCACCCACAGCGGCCAGGGCAGCACCCACAGCAGCCATGGCAGCACCCACAGCAGCCAGGACAGCACCCACAGCAGCCAGGGCAGCACCCAGGGCAGCCCCACAGCGGCCAGGGCAGCCCCACAGCAGCCAGGGCAGCACCCACAGCGGCCAGGGCAGCCCCACAGCAGCCAGGGCAGCCCCACAGCACCCAGGGCAGCCCCACAGCGGCCAGGGCAGCACCCAGGGCAGCCCCACAGCGGCCAGAGCAGCACCCAGAGCAGCACCCACAGCGGCCAGGGCAGCACCCACAGCGGCCAGGGCAGCACCCACAGCGGGCAGCACCCACAGCGGCCAGGGCAGCACCCAGGGCAGCACCCATAGCAGCCAGGGCAGCGCCCACAGCGGCCAGGGCAGCACCCAGGGCAGCACCCACAGCAGCCAAGGCAGCACCCACAGCGGCCAAGGCAGCCCCACAGCGGGCAGGGCAGCCCCACAGCGGCCAGGGCAGCACCCACAGCGGCCAGGGCAGCACCCACAGCGGCCAGGGCAGCACCCATAGCAGCCATGGCAGCACCCACAGGAAGGGCAGGGCAGGGCAGGGGCAGGGGAGGCGGCGCGGTACCTGCTGCGTGCTGAAATCCCAGCCCAGGTAGCAGGGAGCGGCCATGGCACGGCACGGCACGGCACGGCCCCGGTCCTCAGCCGGGAGCCGGGGCAGGGAGCGGGAAGGGGGCGGCTCTGCTGGCCCGGCCTCCCCGGGCAGCACACTGCTAATGAGTGCTCGGGGGCAGGGAGCGGGACGAGCGCTCCATCCCTCGCACGGAGGGGCCGGGCAGAGCTCCGGGGCTGATGCGTGATGGTTCATTACAGATCCAGGCCGTGGTGGGGTTTGTCTGTCCCGAACAGACTCGTTCCCCTCTGTGCAGCCCCAATTCACACAACGGGACGAGGTGATGCTGTTCCTTCATTCCAGACTGCGCAAAGCAGGGAGCTGGGTGGTAACCCGCAAAAGGCTGGCGCGCAGGTCATCAAAACTTTACACTGTTTATACATTATAACAAAGGCGTCAGCTTTTATTGGTTACAAATTACATGCCTTATACCCGCATTTGAGTCCGTTTTGAGTAGGCGGTCTGTGAGCTGATCGAGATTACCTGCTGCTGTAACCACATTTCCCCCCGTTTCTGCTCAGTTCTGCTGAATTCACTCTTGGTGGCTCTTGTCCAGCCCATTCATCTGGGGACCGTCTTCCCTTTTCCTTAAAACAAGAGATTAACCAGGCATACGGAATTCCCAATGCAGTTGCTTAATCCTAACTGTCCAGCTACAGCTACTGGTTAGCGACTAAAAAAAACACCTGCAAAGTTTGGCACAGACCCTTGTTCAAATCTTATGGGGCTTGGGATCAGGATGATGGGATGGTGGGATGATGTGATGGTGGGTGTGAAAAACACATACTTTTATGATTGGCTTTTCGCAAATGTTACAATGAATATTATATGTGTAATGATAGAAAGTTACGCTGTATTAATTCTCTTAAGTAGTGTGTTAAATATAGTTTTAGGTTACAACATAATGTTGAAATAGAAATCTGTGATGTAGGATTATTTTACTAGCTCAAGCAAGAGATGAGATAATCAAAAAGCTCTTCACACTGAGATGACAGTGACATGGGGCCCATGAAGAGCTACTGCCACCTTATCAGAAAATACAAATATTCTTCCACTTCTCTCCGTCTTTATGGAACCACCAGAATTAAGGGGAGGAAGTTGACAAAAACCAGAAAAGTTCTTAATTTGCAAAGAATTTATGCATCATGTATGAGATATATGAATTTGCAACAGGCTATTGCTTTTAAGATTATTCCTTTGTTCACAAGGCATGTTTTTTGTGACTTGGTGTCCGAGAGCATCCGGACGTCCGTAATTCATTGCTTTTTATTGTCTTGCAATTGCCCTAACTCTAAATTTTATTACTGTAATTGTATTACTATTTTTATAATCATTTTATTATTATTAAACTTTTAAAATTTTAAAAACCAAGTGATTGGTGTTTTTCACAGTGGGTCACACTGTGCCAGGGTGGTGCATGGGGCAGCTGAGCACAGATAACCAGACCCATACACAGGGATCTCCAGGGGCAGCACCCAGGCCAGTGAGAGAACACCAGAGTTGCCATGCAGGAGCCACCCAGGGTCCACAATCAGATCAAAATGAGGCAACCTCAAGCCACAGACCCAAATAATTACATAAATTTTAATAACCTGTTACTGCAATTATTATCCCAGAGCCCTGTTGTGGTATCACACTCTAAACAGCACAAACACACAGCATTCCATTTTAAAACCCACTATTGTTACTTTGGCTGAATTATTGTTTTCTAGTTTCCCTTTTTTCACTTGGGAGGGTTGGGAAGGCTTTGGGGTTTTGCATTATCTGCCTGTGACAAGAAAAATGGTATTCCTTAATCAAAAGAAAACTCGTTTAAAATACTTCCATTCTGCAATCAAGGCAGTATCTCAGCAGAGCCTTAATGAAGTCAAATAGGTTTTGCATGCCCAGGATCTTAAACTATTTTTACAGTACAAACACTTAATTTGAGATAGTTCAACTGGTCAGAGCATGGTGCTAATAATGCCAAGGTTGTGGTTTTGATCCCTGTATGGGCCATTCACTTAAGAGTTGGACTTGATGATGCATGTGGGTTTCTTCCAGCTCAGAACAGTCTGTGATTCTAACTATAAAATATCATTAAATTCTGTCACATATTGAGCATTTAAAAATATATCCAGTGATTTCTGAAAGCCTTAACACCCATAGGTTTATACTTTCAGTATTTCTAGTTATTGTTGTAAAGAACAACCTTTAGAACAATGGCCACCAGGAAGTGGTGGAATTTGCCTGCCCCTGAAGAGTTTATGCTGGATTAACCTGTCCTGAAGAAAGGTCTCACTTAACCAGAGGCTGTGAAGGAAATAATGTTTTTGAAATGTTACCAAGAACTGTTTCCTCAGTGTAATTTACACCAGAAAACAAAGGATCAAATAACACACAGAGGCTGGGTTTTTTATTAATGCAGAATGTGGCTAGTGAGCCAAAGAGGACAGGTTTGCTCAGCCCTTTCATTGGCTGCATAGTCCCTGTAAACCATGACAAAGGCTGAGGCTTGAAGCACTGCAATTTTCAAAAGATTTGATAAACACAACAAGAAACTGAAGTCTGTAAGTCTGAATGTAAGAAGGATGAATGACTTCTGAAAAGGAGAAATTAGCAGATTTTAACTTTTTTAAGGAGGTATTGGCTAATAGAAAGGGAACCAGAGTTTATAAATAAAAATAAAATTAAAAAAAAAAACATCTAGTGAGGATGTAAGAATCAGTTATATTCTTCAGCAATCAGGTCAGAATAATCTCAAAAAAAAACAAGAAATTACTTGACTTAAACCATACAGAAAAGCTGGGACTGGAATAACCTCCCTTGTATTATCAATCTCCTTAATTAGGAATAACGAGTCAAGACAAGTCAGGAGGAGAATCCACCGAAGGACAAAGTGGGAATGTTATTGTTGCTACTTTCACTGTTCATGTTTCTCATAAGCACCAAAGGATGTTTGTAGAATCAATGCCTCACCCAGTTTCTCTGTTGCCCATCTTTTAATCAAGTGTTGTCTCAAATTTATTATTTAAGGATGGAAAATGTGCATTGCTGCTGTTCTTTCTGGACTCAAATTCATGTTTAGAGATACTGCCACAGTCTCCAAAAATGTTTCCTGAAAGCAAAGAAGGTTTAGCTGTGCATTTATCAGTGAAGTTGCATTCATGTACGGGTGAGGTTTTAGCACTGACAAATCCAGAATTTCCAGAGGGGATGGACAAAATGCCGTTTATAATTGAAATGTCACCACTGCAGATTAACAGCTCGAGGCAAAGCACAGATTAATCACTCAAGACATGTGGAGCAGAGTAAAGGGAAAAGCAAGTTTATTCCCCTTTTCCTATTAACTAGTTTCTGACCTGATGGAGAAGCAATACTTTCATGCTTTCCTAGGCCCCTGGCTGTTTAGATAAGTTACAACTAGGATGCCAATTAAAGCTATTTTTTCTTACCCCACTGACAGTTAACTGCAACTGCACATTCGTATCAATTCATTGCAAAATGTAAATTAACTGTATTCCACATACCTACATACTGAGATTTTTCACTTTTTATTCTCACTTCCAGTACCAAAACCTTCCTCTGATCTCAGCTGTGCCCTGATGTGAACTTAGATTTAACAGCCCTCTTCAGCTTTGCACAGAGGAACTCCTTCCAAAACAGTGATAGTCTAAATTCCAGGCTTCATTATCATCACATCATCTGAGACATGCCAAGCTAGAGAGCAGATAGACCAGACCTTTGCTCTAAATTAGGGTGACTGTATTGACAGCAGTCCAGCTAACCTGATTTATACCAGCTACATAATTTAATGGGATGTGGAAGGACTCACACCTCCACAGGAAACCCATGGGCAACTACAAAGCTAACAATCCTCCTGCTCCCAGAAGTACATTTTGGGCACCTAACTAGTTATTTTAAGTAGCAGGCAGCCAAGTGTTTCTAAGCCCCAAGCAGGTATTCTACATTGCATAGGTGGGCCCAGCAGAAGAAATGGAACAGCAAATAAAGACTTAAGTTACAAACAGGCAATAAACCACAGCAGCCCCTGTTAGTACAGGCATTGTTAAGTCTGCTGGCACAATTATCCCAGTAAGAAATCTTGTGGTTCTTTAATTAGCCTCAGAAACATTAAACATAGTAAGCTGGGTCAGATGCAAGCCAATTTTGCCAAGTAACCTTGGTCAGGCGCACTGCTGCTAATGAGGTAGGAGATGTTTACAATGTTAAGCTCCAAGTAACACAACAGTAACACATTAACACATCGCCTTAAAAAAAGAAATAGTCTCAGCCTGAGCACTGACCCGCCTGCTAGAACAGTATCTGAACCATGGCAATGCCCTAAAGGTCATTCCCTTTCTAGCTGGCATTGTAAGTACTCTTATCACAAAATCTCCAGCAATGTTTAACTCAGTACTGAAAATATAAAATACCACAGTACCATAAATTAAAAGATGAAGTTTCTGTTCTTTTTATTGAGATGGCATTATAATACCAAAAGTGTTTTTCTTTCCCTAAATATGTGCTTATCTGTTGAAGTTATTTTTCCACATGATCTTGTGGTAACCATACCTCCAAATGCAGTGGAAAATCTTCACTCTGTAAGAATAAGAACTTGATGTTTAAATGGATTGAGGTGGCTGTTTTTTTACTGACTGTGCTGTGAACACGTGAGTGTGAGGAAGAACTTTGATGCTGTGCTGGCTGCCCAGAGTGGTTGTGGAATTGTGGAGTCTCCCTCACTGGAGACATTCCAGGACCATCTGAACACAATTTTATGCAACGTGCCCTAGGACAGCCCTTGCCCAGGGATGTTGGCCCAGATGACCCACTGTGCTCCCTTCCAACCTGACCCACCCTGGGATTCCATAAAGGCACATACAAAGATCCAGCAAAATCCCTGTGAATGAGTTCCACAAGAGGAAGCCCAAAGCACAGTTGTTGCATAGAGACTAAAAATGTAGATTATTTAAGTATAGTAATTACTCCACAAACTTACTGGCTTAATTTTTTGACATGTGCATATTCAATATGCCAGGTGTGGTACTGCATTAACCAGTTAAGGCCCTTTACAGAGAACCCATGAGGAATTGGTGCAGGAATCCATACAAAAGCACACACAAGCACACAAATAATGGGTACAAGAAAAGAGTTTAAATGATGGCTCAAC